TAACCCTTTTGTGTTTCTTGATCATTAAGAAACCGTTTATACTTAGTTTTAAGGTATCTGATTCACAATAAATTGGTGCGGTGAGCGTGGAGAAGATGCCTTCAACAAAGTATGAGATTGAAAAGTTCACCGGAGTGAACGACTTTAGCCTGTGGTGCTTGAAGATGAAATCCCTATTGGTTCAGCAGGATTGTTTGGAAGCGTTGAAGGGTGAGGCAGCCATGGACGCTGCGTTAACGGCAAAAGAAAAGACGGGCATGATCGAGAAAGCCCATAGCGCAATATTGTTGAGCCTTGGTGATAAGGTTCTTCGACAGGTATCAAAGGAGACTACAACATCGGGATTATGGGTGAAACTTGAAAGTTTGTACATGACCAAATCTCTGGTGAATCGACTCTACCTGAAGCAAGCTTTATATTCATTCAAGATGAGTGAAGACAAAGTGTTGGCTGAGCAGTTGGATATGTTCAACAAGCTGATTCTTGATCTTGAAAATATTGATGTGAAGATCGATGATGAAGATCAAGCACTGTTGTTGCTGTGTGCTTTGCCCATAACACATGCTCACTTCAAAGAAACTCTCTTGTATGGAAGGGAGTCCCTGACCTTTGAAGAAGTTCAATCAGCTTTATACTCTAAGGACTTGAACGAACGAAAGGAGCATAAACTTTCGACAGTGGGCGAAGGTTTGTCCGTTAAGGGAAAATTCTGGCGAAAGGATGGTAAGTTCGACAAGAAGAAAGGTAAAAGTCAACAGAAGTCTTATAGTGGCGAAACATCTAGTATTTGATGTTATCACTGTAAGAAGGAGGGTCACATAAGAAAGGTGTGCCCTGAACGCCTGAAAGATCATGGAGGTAATGGCAATGCAGCCATTGTTCAAGATGACTTCGACTCATCTGATGTTCTTGTGGTTTCAAGTGGCGACTCGAGAAAAGAGTGGATTATGGATTCAGGTTGCACTTGGCACATGACTCCAAACAGAGAATTGTTCGAGGAGCTATGTGATCAAGATGGTGGATCTGTGCTGCTGGGAAACAACAAATCTTGCAAAATTGCAGGTATTGGATCTGTGAGATTCAAGCTCCATGATGAGTCAATAAGGTTATTGGCTGAAGTCAGGTACGTACCTGACTTAAAGAGAAATCTGATTTCTCTTGGTGAATTCGACAGAAAAGGATACGCTTTTCAATGAGAGAAAAGTATCCTAAGAGTCATGAAGGGGTCGAAGGAAGTCTTGATAGGCGTGAAGAAACAAGGCTTGTATACCCTTTAGGCTGAGGTTGTAAGTGGTTCGACAAATGTTGCATCCACGAAATCTATGTCGAAGACAGAGTTATGGCACATGAGATTGGGTCATGTCAGCGAAAGAGGCTTGATCGAATTGGGGAAGCAGAACCTGCTAGGAGGTGACAAAGTTGAAAAGTTAGAATTTTGTGAATCTTGTGTATTTGGTAAATCCTGTAGGGCGAAGTTTAACAAAGGCAAGCAAAGAACACATGGATCCCTGGATTACATTCATGCTGATCTTTGGGGACCTGCAAGGAATCCTTCACACTCAGGTGCAAGGTATTTTCTATCCATCGTTGATGACTACTCCAGAAAGCTATGGGTATTTATTCAGAACACGAAGGATGAAACTTTTGAGAATTTCAAAAGTTGGAAGATTCTGGTCGAAACTCAAACTGGCAGAAAGGTTAAGAGGTTGAGAACCGACAATGGCCTTGAATTCTGCAATGAAGCGTCCAATAGTTACTGTGTTGGGTCTGGGATTGCAAGGCATGAGACTGTAGTAGGTACTCCTCAACAAAATGGATTAGCTGAGAGATTCAATCGAACAATCCTTGAAAGGGTTAGATGCATGTTGGTTAGTGCTAGATTAAAGAAGGTGTTTTGGGAGGAAGCTATTTCGACAGCAGCTTACTTGATAACTAGATGTCCCTCGACTGCCTTGGGAATGAAGACACCTGAAGAAGTTTGGTCGGGACATCCACCTAGTCTCGACAGACTGAGAGTATTTGGCTGTATGGCCTATGCTCATATTAGGCAAGACAAGGTCGAACCTAGAGCTCTGAAATGCATGTTTATGGGATACCCTAAAGGAGTAAAAGCTTATAGGCTATGGTGCCTAGAACCAGGTCACAGAAGGTGCATCACTAGTCGAGATGTAGTTTTCAATGAAGCAGAAATGGCTTTCAAGAAAACTGATAATGCTGACGAAGAGCTGGAACAGGGAGAGATTCCTGTTGAGGTGGAGCATGTTGATGCTGAATTGCTTACCCCAAATGGAGTCGAAGAAGACGCAGAAGATGTTGTCGAAGATGAGGAGACTGATACTGACTACCTGCTAGCAATAGACAGGTCGAGGAGAGTCATCAAGCCACCTCAGAGACTTGGGTATGCAGATCTTATAGCTTATGCCTTAATCTCTGCAAGTGAGGTTCTAGACGAAGAACCTAGAGACTATAAGGAAGTTATGAGGAATCAAAAGAAGACTGAATGGTTGAAGGCCATGGATGATGAGATGAAATCTCTTCATGATAACAACATCTGGGAACTGATCAAGAAACCTGCTGGAGCCAGGTTAGTCAGCTGTAAATGGATTTTCAAAGTTAAGGAAGGAAACGAAGGAGTGACGTCGAAGAGATACAAGGCAAGATTGGTTGCTAGGGGGTTCACTCAGAAAGAAGGTGTCGACTTCAATGATGTGTTTTCTCCTGTTGTGAAGTATAAATCCATTCGAATGTTGCTTGCCATGGTGGCCCAGTTCGACCTTGAACTGGAACAGATGGATGTGAAGACTGCGTTCTTGTATGGTGATCTAGATGAAACAATACTGATGAGGAAACCTGAAGGGTATGTCGAAAGGGGGAAGGAAGATTATGTGTGCAAACTGAATAGATCTTTATATGGACTGAAACAATCTCCTCGACAGTGGAATAGGAGATTCGACAAGTTCATGGCACACATAAGTTTCATCAGAAGTCAGTTCGACCACTGTGTTTACTTCAGATTTCTACCGGGTAATTCATTTGTTATTTTGTTGCTCTATGTGGATGATATTCTAAAGCAGCAATGTCGAAGAGGTAATGAGGGTGAAGGCTGAACTCAATAAAGAATTCGACATGAAGGATTTGGGAGTTGCGTCCAGGATTCTTGGGATTCACATCCGGAGAGATAGAAAGCAGTCGAAATTATGCTTATCTCAAGAGGCATGCCTACAAAAGGTTCTCAAAAAGTTTGGTATGTCGAATTCAAAGCCTGTTGTGACTCCGACAAACCCTCAATTCAAGCTGAGTATAGATCAGTGTCCCAGCACTGATGTTGAAAGAACTTATATGAATAACATTCCATATGCTAACATAGTAGGTTCTTTGATGTATGTTATGGTCTGTACTAGACCCGACATAGCATATGCAGTAAGTCTTGTAAGCAGGTACATGGCAAATCCTGGAAAGGTTCACTGGCAAGCATTGAAGTGGATTTTAAGGTACATAAATGGGTCTCTGAATAGAGTTCTAATTTATGGTGGAGCCTTGGGTGAAGATAGTAAAGCCTCAATGGAAGGATATGTCGACTTTGATTACGCAGGTTGTATGGATTCCAGAAAATCTATCTCTGGATATGTGTTCACTATGTTTGGGACAGCAATCAATTGGAAAGCAACACTTCAGAAGGTCGTTGCCTTATCAACCACTGAAGCGGAATATATTGCCTTAACTGAAGCTATGAAGGAAGCATTGTGGCTTGAAGGTTTTGCAAAGGAGCTAAAACTTCAAGGTCGAGTTATCATTGTTAAATGTGATAGTCAAAGTGCAATACACCTGTCGAAAAATTCAGCCTATCATGAGCGAACCAAGCACATTGATGTGAGGCTGCATTTCATCAGAGGGGTAATCGAGCGTGGAGAAGTCCAAGTGTTGAAGGTTTCGACAGATCATAATGTTGCTATTATGATCACCAAGATGTTGCCCAGTTGCAAGTTTTTCCACTGTATGCAATTAATAAAGCTGCATGAAGAAAGCTAGTTTCTTGATGTTATAGAGTTAGATCCAAGGTGGAGATTTGTGAGATGTTGGATCGAACTCTAGTATGGTCGAAGTCTGTTCGTGAGTAATGCGTGTTGTAGTCGAAGTTTGTTCTAACATGCATTAGTTAATATTGCTAAGGTTGTTAGCATGTTGAATTGGGTCTTACTTGTAAGTCCAATTGTTTAAGTTAGTTTGTACCCTAAATTAGCTTGTAATGGGTAATTGTTAAAAAGTTCATTAGGTTAGTGTGCTATTTTTCTTATAAATAGGATACTAGTTTCTCAATCTTGAGACAAGGAAAAATAGGAAGATAAAATCCTAATTTCAAGAGAGAGGTTATTTTGTTATTCTTTTATACTTGTAATCTTGTTCTAAGAGAAAGGAAAGAATAGCAGTTTAATAACCAATCATTGTTGTTTTCTTCTTTATTAACCCTAACTCTTGTGTGTTTCTTGATCATTAAGAAACCGTTTATACTTAGTTTTAAGGTATCTGATTCACAACAACATCCAAACCTAGAAGCAAGCAAAATAGTTCCCGTCGAGTACGACGGATGCCTAAGGTGTTAGTACCTTCCTTTCGCATAACCGACCCCTTTCCCGTTTCTTTACCCTTTGAGTTTTATCGATATTCTCTCTGTCATTTAGGACTAAATAAAATTCGGTGGAGACTCGGTTGTATCTTTGAGTGTACAATTTACTCGGATATAATTCCTCTAGCTTCACTCTACAACTTCACTTTTCCTACTCCCTCTCGAGCTAACCACCAATCATGCGACCAAGACTTTAACAGAATATACAATCAGAATATAAAATATTAACCATCTTTTACCAACTTGAACCATTTAAAACCATCATTTTCCCCTCCAAAAGGACACGATGTGGTTTTACATTACAAAGAAACCATAGACTACCAAACATACACATCTAAGTCTGGTGTTTATCCTTAATTTAAATGTTAAACATACATTACATATTTGCATTATCTGGTTTTTGGGCAGGGCCAGGTGACAACTTGGGTGAATTGAAACTAGAGCAGCTGCCTACTTTCGAGTTGGATCTATGAGTCTTCACCAATGGAACCAAAGACTGCACTACATCTGCCATGAGAGGTCTGTAATCTGCTTCTGGCTGCACACACATTGTCGCAATCGCTGCTACTTGGATAACATCTTTCATTGAGTACTGTCCCTCCAATGCTGGATCCATAATCTTTACAACTTTTTCTCTATCAGTCAAAAGGGGCAAAGCCTAAACACAAACCAGAGTTTGTTAAGCAGTTTCACCTTGTTTCCATAAGCTCTCTAGTGTAGCCTATGAAACCGGCTTATAACTCATGAATAGATAATACCTTACAGATTCAAGATGAGTGAAAAGAATTATAAAACATACCCAAGTAACGAGTATGCCTTCCCCGGGAGGTCTCTTCATATCAACAGGCACTCGGCCGGTAAGAAGCTCCAAAAGTACGACACCATAACTGTACACATCTGATTTCGTTGTTAAATGACCTGTTAGTGCATATCTGCACAATCGAAGATTTTTCATGAGAGGAAATTACTCATTAACAATGTAAACAAAACAGTGTAAAAGCAGATTATGAGTAATGAATTGTACTCGGGGGCAACATATCCTTGGGTGCCTAAAACGCGAGTTGAAACATGTCCACCGACTCTATCAGGTCCAAGCTTTGCCAATCCAAAATCAGAAACTTTAGCATGAAATTTTTTGTCCAAGAGGATGTTGCTGCTCTTAAAATCTCTGTGAATCACTGGAGGACTGACATGTTCGTGAAGATATTCCAAACCCTTGGCAGCTTCAAGTGCTATTCTCAATCGAGTTTCCCAATCTAAATTAACAGACGTGACACTCAAATCTAGAAAAAAGCCAACTCATCAAACTCAAATTCCACATAAAAAGATAACATAAATATCGGACAAATAATAGCACCATGGTCGAAGAATGCAAATGCAGCTCGTCCGCATTATATTACTTACTGTTATTGCTGACAGGATAAAGATGTTCTTGCAAGCCACCATTCGCCATAAATTCATACACCAACAGCTTATGATTATGATCAGAACAGTATCCAAGCAATGCAAGCAAATATGGCGAATGCAACCGACTTAGCAATTCCACCTACAGCGAGATGTAATCAACCCAGTCAACTCAATTCTCAAAACAAAACACCTTCCTAAACCACTGATCGATACCGAATCCATCAAGAAAAATATCATGACGCTCCTTTAATGTACAAACAGTGCTGGCGAGAAAAATGTACAAACCTCGACTTTAAACTCTTCTTCCCCTTGCTTTCCTGCTTGATCCATGAACTTAATCCCAACCTTCCTTCCATCGTTGAGCACTCCACGGTAAACTAGTCCAAATCCACCCTGACCAACCACATTCGACTTGCTGAATCCTCCAGTAGCAGAATGCAGTTGCTTGAAAGTGAACACCTTAAGTCCTTCCTCAGCAACAACTTGCAGATTTGAAAAATCACTTTTCTCATTAAGGTTAGCAGCATCTTCAACTAACATAAAACCAAACAAAGCTTATCAGTAAGTGGACTATCAATTTCGCCATATAAAGGTAAAAGAAACATTTTTGGCAAAAAAATCCACAAGACCCAAATCAACAGAAACAAAAAACCTCAAAGCAAAACAAAAATAGAAAAGCACAAAAAAAAAACACTAGCCCATTTTTCAGTGAGCATGAATCTCGATAACCCTTCTACCACTTTTTCATCCAGAGTACGAAAAATCAAAACTTTTCCCCTCCCACACCCAAATACCACAACCCCATTTTCTAATATCTTCACATAAACCAAACATAAACAAAACATAGCAAAACAAAGCAAAACAAAACAAAACCTTTATGACTATTGCGTCGGCGCTTGGAAACTTTGTTACGGATGTAGCAATAGTAAGCAAAAGCAACAAAAGAAGCAAAAACAGCGAGAGAAGCAAGCATCACAATAGCTACAAGTGCAATTTTGGCTTTCCTTCTATAATCTTCGTCTTCCGCCATTTTTGTAGAAGCAAAAACTCCAACACTGGAAAATGGCTAAAGGGTTGTGTCAAAACCGAGGAGAAGTTGCACTTTGTAGCTTGAAAGTTCGAAGACTGTACTTTGACTCACTCTAACTATTTTCTTTACTCACTCAGCTTTTTGTCTGTGGCGCGTACAATAAGAACAAAACAATGATGTAGTAATATTTTTTCTTTTTATATTTCTACCCCTCAAGTTTATTGGTTTTCTAAATGAACGACTCTCTTTGTAATATTTATTCATGTTTTTCACCTTTATTTTCGTTTATTGTTTTCCTGCACACTTAATTATCCCTAAATCACAATCTCTATTTTAGTTTAAAAAAACTAATCAAGTTTTTTTATAAGCAAAAATTTTCATTAAGGCAGTGATAAGCCTTAGCAAAATTCACTTAATTGCAAATAACTCTACCTTATTTCGCATTTTTGTCGTATTATGTAGTATTTTTTGTATTTTTACATTGTTTTCTATAAAATTTATAGGGTGTTGTGACTATATTTTATGTATTGATTATATATTTTATGGAAATAATATATGTATTGTTTATACATTTTATAGAAATCTATCAGAATTATGATATTTTTGACACCCATTTTTTTATGAGCGGAACTACCCTATTAACTTATACGGTATTGTCAAATTTTCAAGCATTTCACTTTGACACAAAAACTAAAGCATGAAAAAAGTTATTAAAAAAAATAAATGATACATATAAAAATATTTATATACGGTGTATATATATATATATATATATATATATATATATATATATATATATATATATATATATATATATATATATATATATATATATATATATATATATATATATATAATTTAAGTGTCGACTTAATATTTCTCTTTTTTGTATACACCATAAAAAACAACAAAGCAAAATGTAGATGTTGAGAAACCAAAGTTAAAAAAAAATTATTAAAAGAATAAAGTTAATAAATTTTAGGTATAATATTATGGTGGTGGTGTTATAATTGATGTCAACCTATCTTTTTTCAATCTCAAAATATTTTTTGTATCGTTCTAGATTTCAAAATTTGATATGTTTATTTTACGAAAAAATCACTTCATCGTTGAGACACACCCATTTTTGTCAAATATATGTTCGAAATTAATTCTCAAGACATATTTCAGATTACAATATCTGAAATTTTAATAGAAAAAGTAAATTTGACTGTCATGTTGCATGTATACCAACCACTTTTTTTTTTTTTATGATCATAACACCATTTTTATAAAATCCTACAAAAATCTCATTTCATTCTCATTTAAGATTTTTATTTTAAAACAATATTATTTTGTATTTTGACATCAAAAATATTGAGAATATTAAGTGTGACTTGGAGTTTCACATTGATTATAAATGTGGATAGTTGAGCATTTATAAGTGGGAGAATCCACACACCTATCACCTTAAGGTTTTAGATGAATATGTGGTGTCTTTCTCACTTGTATTGCTTTTGGCTCAATATTGATGCTCCTCCTCATACCCCAAAAGAAAAGAAGCTAAAATTTTTGTTGAAATATGTATGTTGCGTCCGGATTTTGTCACATTGTCCAAATTTTGAAATTCTGACAGTTTTGATATTGAATTATCTTCTATTTTGGTTGGTTGTAGTTATGGTGCACGTTGATGTTATCACTAATATTGTCTGAGGCTCTTGTATTTATGGATGTTAAATCAGGTGATCCTCTGCCGCGCACAGATTAATTTTAAAAATGGTAGTTTATCGACAATGACTCGAGTCGTATCACAAGAATTCTTGTATTGAATTAACCAACTAAAGTAAAGGTTTATGGGGTTTTCAATTTTGATTTAGAAAACAAAAGAAAATAAGTGATTATGAAAATAAGTTAATATGTTGTTTCGGTTCTTACCTATCACCCATTATTATAACTTTATTACTCTAAGTGGATTCTATTCATACTCGATCATAATATCAATCAACAAGCGAGAATTACATCATAAGAGTTATGTTTCCTATTCGCTGATCACAAATCAATCAACAAGCGTGATTGAATTAAGAAAACAGTTAAGAAATAAGCGAATTAACGAATAAGTAAATGAAAACACGCAATTAAATTTAGGAAATATATCAATTGAATCAACAAAGCTACTCTATGAAAAATCGGATTAAGCAAAGAGTAGTCATAAAACAGGATTGATATGAATAGTAATTGAATTGTAAATTTATATAAATCTCAAGGTAATTGAACATGATTACAGCATATCAACCTGAGAGGTTTAGTTCTCCATGAAATTCGTAAAAAGAAAAAGTGAAATTCGTCAATAGTGAAAAGAAGGTATGTGAACAGTAGTCCGACTACTACTAGGTATAGGGAAACATCAAATCTGGTTTCTAACCCAACTGGGTCTAAAAATATTTAAAAAAAACCAACTCAAAACAAAATATTTCTAAAGTCTAGAACTTCAACGAATTATTCGATATTGATTCACTCTGAATCATCTCTCGGTCTCAACACCAAACTTGTATCTCTTTGTCCCAGCTTTCCAACGCCGGTTAAAATGCACAAAATGCAATCACATAGCTCAAGTTATGGTATGCACAGTGAACATGTGCCAAATACACGCCAATGCTGAAAATAAAATACGAATTTAAAATAAAGTTAGAAACAAACTTAAATATGAAAACACATTAAAATAGTAAAAGTAGTCAAATAAACTACAGGAATGTCAAGGTATAATAATGGAAGAATGTGCATGAAAATGCATTGATCACCAAATAATGTCCAAGATCTAAAATGCAACAGTTATTGAAACTTTGGATTATCATCATTATGTATCTATGTACATAGAGTGTGTGAGGATAGAAAAAATCGTTTAATATATATTTTAGACTCGTCTTGATTCTATCAAGTTGTTCAACGCATTTCCCAATGTGATCATAATTGATTCATTATATAAGACCAACAAGTACAAGTTTTCACTTTTAAAAATTTGTTGGTATTACTTCTATAGATATGACTTATTCATTTGGCTTTGAATTTTTGCAATGTGAAAAAATAAGACAATTCTACATAGGCTTTGGAAGTGTGTCAAACTATGTTGAAATACCAAGAAAATATACCATAGGTTATTGTCACTGATTACGATATTGCACTGATGAACTCGATTGTAAAGGTGTTTCATATATCATATAGTTTACAGTGTAGGTATCATATAACAAATAATGTGATAGGTGGTCTTAAGTTTGCGGTAGGGACCAAATAAATCAAGGGTAAAGACGGGAAAATGGTCAAATCTAGTGCAATATTGTAAAGTATAATGGATGTTTGGAATGCTATAATAAATTTGTCTACAAAGAGTTGTATAATGAATTTGTCATATTATTCAGAAGGGTGTTGTGGCATATCTGAAATTCTTAAAATATGTTGAAAGCACAATGCTAGACCAAGTGAATGAGAAGTCTGTTTGTGCTTAGACCGATCAAGTTATACATTTTAGAAATACTAAAACTAATAGAGTTGAATCTATTTGTGTCTGATTAAAAAAATTGTTTTAAAAAAGTAAAGGGGATTTGTGTACGGGTTTGAAATTTGTGAATAAAATGATTCAAAATCAACATAATGTTGGAAATTCACCTCACGCCCTATGAAGAATTCCCTTCAATCTTGATCTCAAGATTGATGAACAAACCCACAATATAATAGTAATGGTGATAACAAGTAAAGAGTTATCAAGAATAGCAAAAGAGAAGAAGAATAACAAGCAAACAGCAAGAAAGAGAAAAATGAGAAAAGAAATATTTGGAGAAAATTGTGTTACCACAAACTGTGGGATTTCTAATTACTATTGAACTTTCACTTGCTAAACTTTGCAACTGTGAAATCTATTCTATTGTAGATTATAAAGCAATGCACCTACTTATAATTTTAGGTTTAGAAAATCCCAAAACATAAAAGGCCCAAAATATTCAAAATCAAATCTAATCTAAATCATATTAAATCGCATCAAAACAAATTTGTGTTAAAACAAACTGTTTCAACACACTGAGAGCTTCGACACTTCGACACTTGACTTAGACTTCCACTGCTTCCTTGCTATTTCGATTTTGATACTATGAATTACATTTAACACACCACCTAATTCATTGTGTCTAAATTGTCTACATTCATCATGGCTCTTAGTTTTCTGAAGGCTTCGACCTGCACTCCCTTCGTCATGATATCTGCAATCTGATTCTCAGTTCTACAGTGTTCCAACTTCATCTTCCCTTCTGCTACCTGCTCTCGAAGATAATCGAACCTCATTTCGATGTGTTTGCTTAAGTCCATACAGGGATTTATGAAGCCTGTACACCTTTCTTTCTTCACCGTGTTTCACAAACCCAGCTGGTTGTGCAACATAAACTTCTTCGTCTAAGGGGCCATTAAAGAATCCACATTTCACGTCCATCTGACATGTGTACCAGTTGTTCATATTTGCTAGACCAACAACCAACTTGATTGTTTCTATTCTAGCAACAGGTGTGAATACTTCATCGAAGTCGATTCCTTCCTTCTGAAGAAATCCTTTTGCCACAAGTCTCGCCTTGTGTCGAGTTACTTCTCCTTTAGGATTTACCTTCACCTTGTAAACCCATTTCACATCAATTACCTTCTTGCCTTACAGAAATTCGACAAGTGACCAAGTATCATTGACTTCGATAGACTCCAACTCTTCAGTCATTGCTTTCACCCACTTTGAATCTTTCAATGCCTTAGCTGCATTGACTGGTTCGACATCTGCATAGAAATCATAATGTACCAGCTCACCCTCTTCATTGACTACATCATCTAATGTAATTACATATTCTTGCAACCTTGTAGGCACGTGTCTTGTTCGTCGAGGTCTTCTTAAACCTGCTTCATCTGTAACTGGTTCCTGTCAAACTTTAATTTCGACTTCAGTGGCTGGTTCTTCACAAGAGATTCTCACTGAACCCTTCTTGGCATTCTCAGTT